CTGGAATGTCTTTCCTTTTATTTCAAGGTGGTTCTTAGTAAGTCAGTTTCTGAAATAGCACAGAATGTAATCCAATATGTAAGGCTTGCCTTACTCACACCTGAAGAACTTAAACAGGTTGAACTAGACAACGAGAAGGATAGAATGATTCCGGTAAGTCTTGGTGAAAACATCCCTGTACTGAGCCAGTAAACCAGTGTACCTAATTGTTATTATGTGGTTCTGCACCAACTCAGTTGAACAGACCTCTCTGCCACCTCTTATTTGAAAAATATGTATTCAGCAGGGAGTTCTTCATTCAGAATGAATAGAAAAGAAGTTCGAAATTATTGAGCCTTTCCACGTCAATAGATTCGTGCGTATTCATTTTATAACGCGTAAAGCGTAGGCAAATGTTTTCATTTGCCTGTTAGTGTGTTTACAGTACGTATAAAGTTCCTTCTTTTTTACATACATATTCGGTCTGTACGTGCGTATGTGCGTGTGAACGCTACATGATACGTATTTAATTTCCATAAACGCTTTCATGCGCGCAGCACACGCGGTTTCGCTATTGGAGTGCGCTTGTTAGGCCGTGCGATCGTGCACGCAAGCATGCTTGCGGACGTGTGACTTTTCACGTTTTAATCAGGTTTTGCGTTTATTTCAGATCAAACAAATATCTGAAGCGTGGAAATATCACGCTCTGAGAAAATCACCCAAACACAGCGCTACTGTACCCAGACCACGACCGCGGCGAGGAACAAAACCACGGGAAATGTACACTGAGGCTCATTAACTTTAACAGCCGCGCAATACTGGGATTTGATGACTGGCAGTAATGCCCTGAATACAAGAACCATTGCAACTGAATTCATAAAATACCAGTATAAGTTTGCATTATATCTGCCAACCATTTTCTGAGTTATTATACTTTTTTGTGGTATTAAGAATATTTTTTTTCTTTCTACATTAAGGGGATACAAATTTTTGCGAGAAAAAAAACTTTATGAAGGTTTAGGAGTTTTATTTTTATACCATATCGCTTTTGTAGTCTTTTTTCGTGTGCAAACTTTGCAAACAAAGTTTACTCTATAAATAATCTCTCTCGATGTCGGTATGTTTTCGCCCCATGAGCCAATATAATCATTACAATATCCATTCTGATATGATCACCAAAAGGGAGCTTTTCAGCTGCTAGGAAGTTCTACTCTGAGTTGCCAATATGTCACTGAAACTGATGTTGGTATTATAATTCGTTTTACGAAGAGAGAACTTAATTTTTTCCCATAAGAATTTCTCATGCAAATTTAGTTGTTTTCGTGGTGCACCAGATTTTCTTGCGGGATTAGATGAAAGAATCCACTTCATGCGCTTAATACTTTCTTTCTGTAGAGCTGGGTCTTTATATCGGAGCCGTTTTTGAAGCAACAAACAACTTAAAAAGTAATGTAATATACATTTTCCTGTTGCTACGATAACAATTTTATTTTTGTCGTTTATCAAGCTAAATTTAGATTGATGTTCTTGTCTGTGCTTGTCTGTCTTATGGTTTATTTAAATCCTATCAATTACCGACTGATGATTACCAAATGGAAAATTATTATCATTATCAGCTGAAACTTAAAATAGCTCTCCCTAAGAATTTAATTACTGAGTATTTCTCAAGAGCAATATAAAAGATACGATTTTTTTTACATCAGGCTGCTAAAAGATCTGACGTTTGAAATTTAATAATTTATTTTCACAGACGTTTTTTTTTTCGTTTTGTTATTTAAACACAAACAATTAAAGTGCCCTAATGGTTATGCGTGCTGTTGGTGCCACAAACGTTTTTAAAACCATTGTGTACACAAGTCAGCAGTGATATTGCTGTAGAATATTTGTTTATAGTCGGACTGCTGGGAAACTAGACATTTCAGCTAATATTTTAAGCTGTTATTTTCTATTAACGTACTTCCAGACACAGGAAATAGAAAATGAAATGAAAACATCCTAAATACGTCCACTTATTGGATTAAAATAATGTTATTAAATTCGCTCAAGTTTGTGCTGCTAAAAATCTTTGCGACGTAATGCAAATTTTTCGTAATTATGCGAACACAATACATACGCATGATTGGGCTGTTTTCAGTGGTCAAATACATATTGAAGGTGTGAAAACTTAATCCCGACGGAGTTGCTTAAGTGGAAAAAGCTATCGCATAGAAATACAGTCCTTGGGAAGTGTGGAAGCCAATACAAAGTACTGAAGAAGCCATTAAAAGCCCAGGTGACGCACAAGGGTTTCTTCGTCATTGTAAAAGCAGGCTTTATGATTTGTTATTTGATCGATATGACCTTAAGGTGAAGTGTGCTATTGCTTCGTTTATTGTGCTGGATCCATGATGTGGGAGGCACGGACATTTACGCCACAACAGGGAAATTTATGGAGTAATAACGTGTCACCGATGTCAAACGACTTGAGCGAGATCGAATTCAGCTTCGATGAGTTTTCTGCTGGATCAACACCTAAAGCCTCAGATCCTGGTTCAAGCAACATGGCGCAAACTGCACTAAGATATGTTACACAGAAAACATTGACTGCTGACATTATTGCAAAAATACAAGCCATAGACAATGAAAGTGACCTCTCAACGGATCAACAAGAATTAGAGAACACAAAGATTTTGCATCATGGGTTAGACACCGCTAGCGGACATGAAACCACCGATTTAAAGCGCCCCGCATCGGATGAAATGAACGGTGAAAATCACGTTGAAAATTCAAGCAAATGCATGGTTCGCGATGTAGTAATTATTAAGAATTCTACGTCGCCTTTGGGCTTCTTCATTCGACAAGGTGATGGTTCTTTTAGGAAGAATGGAATATTTGTATCACGCGTTGCACAGCGAAGTTTTGTTGATGTGAATGGGTTACTGGAGGTTGGCGATGAAATTATTTCAGTGAATGGAGTTGATATTGAAGGCTTTAGTTTAGACGATGTTGTACGAATGATTCAAATACCGCGCAAGCTGATTTTGACCATCAGAACAAGTGATTTGTTGACTGATCAAAATTCATATTCTGAAGAAATCAACGGATCCATAGCTACGAGCGAAAACTTTCACAAAACAACGTCGAAAGGTTTTAAAATCAAAACTAAAGATTCCCGCTCAGAACCCAGCAACGACCGTAAACAAACTATTCAAACAGAAACAGCTAATGTTGAAATAGACAAAAATGCAAACCATAAGAAGAAAATTTCCAAGCTGCCAATTGGCGGAGATTCGTCGAATATTGAAGAACTTATTAAGGCAATTCGAGCACAAAATAATCGCTTAAAGTCTGCGAAGAAAAATTCTGAGCATCAAGAAGACGAAAGCAGACAATTTACCGAAGATCACCGCAACCCGGTCGGTTCTCTTTTGAAACAAAGACACATAAATAGACCCGAAGCTCCGACGAGAAAACCGTCAGCTGATGCAATAATTTTATCAACAAGAACACCCCCACCGCTTGCAAGCCGCAAGTCAAGTACTTTAACGCCCGTTACATCTGTTAATTTGATTTTCGATGATCTTGACGATTTCGCAGTTCCTACCCTTGCTGCTAATAGTAGCATGTCCAACGAAGACTCTTTGAAGGTTTACACTTTGGAGCAGGTTCCCCGAAGCCCTACGGGTTCTCCCGGAGGGAGCCCGAAGGCAAGGCGAAGACTTCCGTCGGTGCCATCCGAAGTCGGACGGACAAGTCGATGTGATAGTGATAGTCGAAGTGAGAGCAGTTCTCCCACTTTAACGAAACCACTACTGAGTCTCCCTTCAGAGCCACGAAACCGTAGAATGCTGCCAACTCCACCACCTTCTCCTGTTGCTTCACATAAAGATGCTTCAAACAGTCGGAATTCAAGTTCCTCTAACTTTGAGAGCCCTGAGGATGGAAAATCAGACAGAAATAGTTGGAGTGGATCCACGGATGGCGAAACCGCGGAGGAAAAATCTCCAACGCCATCTACGCCTTCTACGCCATCTCCTTCACGTAAAGACTCCGTTTTGTCACTAAGCCAAATTTTTAGTGCATTCGCCTTCAAAATACATTCAAACGGAGCTGAGACAGGGGAGAAAAACAAAGATGGCGCGAGACAAGAGGCTTATAAAACGCCAACTTCCCCACGCAGGCCAGCGCGAAAAAGTGAATCGCAGTGCCAGGATATTGTGGAACAGCAAAGGCACTCCATGTTTTTAAATTCCTTCGTTTCTAGTGGATTGCAAGTTCCTACCGGAACCAGACGGCTAGCGAGTCGATCATCACACCCGAATCTGAAACTTTTAAATCCTGTCCCAGAAGAAGGCGCGAAATCCAAGCTTTCTATCGGATCAGCTTCGCCATCAGGTCACTTTAAGCTGTCTCCCTTTACCAGAAGGCGCGCCAGCCTTCAGTCTATGACTGACAAGAGTTTAAACAATCAGCTTGCCTCGCAAGATTTGACTGACAGCGACCAACTTAGGAGCGAGATAGATGTCGGTTTTATGATATTCCCGGATGATTATAGTGGACATAATTTATTGTCGTCCCACGCGGTCTCTGGTATGGTCTCCTTACATCTAATCAAAGCCACCAACCTCCCTTTTGCAGATAAGAAACTACTGGAGAAGAAAAAGAAGGTATATTGTGCAGTCGAAGTTGATTTTGAGCGTAAAGCTTTCACGAGTTCTAAAAGAGCTTCGAAAAGCATAACATGGGATGAAGCCTTTGATGTAGAAGTTCAGCATGGTCGTGAAATCTGTCTGTCTTGTTTCACACCGGGTCACGAATTTGACAAACCAGTGGCTAAAGTTTCCTTCAACCTGTCACCTTTTGTCCGATGCGGCCAGCAGCACAACACCGTGTTTCGTTTACATCCACAAGGCGCGATTCACCTCAAAATGGAATTCACAGAGATGAAGGCGTTGCTAAAACGAGCTCCTTCCGACAGAAGTTCGGGCGTGTTCGGCTTTCAACTCAACGTGACTTCGCGCAACGAGAGGGCAAGCGTTCCGTTAATCGTTCGCAAGTGTGTCGAAGAGATCGAGAAGCGCGGACTGACAAACGTCGGTCTCTATCGGATTTCCGGAAACGCTCGACGGAAGAAGCAATTACACGCGCAATTTGACGAAGACAGCACGAAAGTCGACCTGTCAGAAGAGAATTATCCTGATATCAATGTCATCGCCGGCATTCTGAAAGATTATCTTCGAGAACTTCCCGAGCCACTCATCACTGAATCTTTGTCCAAAATGCTGATTAAAGCTGCTAAAGAACATGTTCAAGATCAAGATTTAGCTGCACAGAAGCGTGTTCTTTCCAAGCTGCTTGTCCAGTTGCCACAACACAACAGAGAAACGTTAGTGTATTTGTTGAATCATTTCTTGCGCGTTATTGCTGAGAAGGAAACGAACAAAATGGACGCGCACAATCTATCAGTATGTTTCGGCCCCGTACTGTTATGTCCCCCGGCGAACCTTACAGAAAGTAAGGACTTGTTAGATCTCAAACTCCATAACAGAATTGTAGAATTCCTTTTGTTTCTTTGGAACAACACTGGCGGGATATCTGAATAGATTTTATTTTAACCGGACCGTTGTTCCACTTTTTATATTTGTCGTTCTGCCCAAAGCAAGATACTCGCTCACAGAACACAATCATAAAAATGGCAACTCTATCATTATATTGATCAAACAGTTTTATTAAACCTTCTCCAAGTCAGTTCGTTTAGTCTAGTCCAGAGTACAACTACGCCCCTCATTCGCAGTGAATTAGCGGTCAATTTCTGTAATTCCCCCCCTACTCTTTACACTCCGTTGGCGACAAATGATCCTCCTCCAAAAAAACCATGTTATCCCCCTCAAAATCCTCCGAACGACCTCTCCCCCAACCGATAGGTGATAACTGGTACCTTGGCTTAAAGGAGATGCAGGAGGTTTTGACTTATTAACCATGAACAATTCAGGCTGAATTTTCCGAGTTTTTTTGTTTGAAATAGGAGTAAATCTTCATCCTAAACCATTGATTTTCATTTTTTCTTTTGTTACTCCTATTTAATTTTTTTTCTGTCTTTTGAAAGAAATGTTCCCATGTTTTTCGTCACGGCCACAGGTATTCAGTCTGCTCGTCACCAGACTACTCTGCATCCTTGTTCGGTCTCAAGAGATGCGTGAAAGAGCATTCGGGGGAATCATGGCGGGGTTCTTGGACGAGTCTAAGGAATGTGAACGAGTTACCGAAAATCTCCAACCTTCCCCCCTGTCATCAACTATTTATAACTTTGGCATGCTCAGTGTGTCGAGGTTAATTTCTTTCCTTTTTTACTACACGTCGGTATGTCAAAGCTCTCTGATGTTAATTACGTCCCCTCTTTGAAGACTTGAACGTCAACCAATGAACGTTATATTTTCCAATTAGACTCCAAAAAAAGGTTTCTCAATTATCATGATCAAGTCTTGCTGTATAATTTGTTCTTGGTATTCGAGGATAGTTTCAATTAACATCGCTTGTCCTTTAACAATTTCAGCAAAATAATATTTAGTCGGTTTAAGTTATATGTTTCATCCAGGTGAGTGCGAAAATCGTTTCCTTATTCTAATTTGTTTATTTCTTTATTCATACATTTGTAATTTTTTTCTTTTTGATTCTAAATTTAGAGAATTTTCTTTGAGCTTGTGCAATCAACAGCTGGTTGTAGTATGATTTTTCTTTCTGTGAAAGGACGATAAACGCATTGGTTAACTGTATTGAATAACGGGGGCAAGTTTCAAAGGAAACTGTGGTGCTGCATCGGTGGGAGAGTAAAAGCCTTCGTCAACCGCTCTGACGAAGGGCTAACGCTCGAACGTCAGCCTTTAAACTCTTTACGGTGGCCAATTTATGTTATCAATTCAATTGATAACACTAAGTTACCCTGTATTGATTGAAATAGCATTTCATGATTTCGCTTAACCCTATTCATCGTGGAACGCCGGCTGTTTGAAATGGATTAGTAGGAAAACTAAACCAAAATTTTCAAATGTAGCTATTTTTGGACGTAACTGTTTGGCCTACCCTTTGAAAACGAAAATTTTTCTCTTATTAGTCAGCAAATTTAATTTAACAAATACTTGAATTAAATAAGAAAAATACTACGCCCTTTCGATGCCGAAGGAACAAAACCATAATCGGTACGTACGTGAAAACTCAGTGTCGCAAGTTCAGATAGGTTGTTCTTATTCGAGCAATTCTTACCCCAAATTAATGACGATTTGAGCACTTTGATTAACAGTCTAAATCACTTACATAAATGTTCACTGATGGACATTGAGAGTTACTCAATTCATGGTTACCTCTTAGTGTTACCAGGAACAGTATTACTTTTTACTTTTATATTTCTGTGATGTATACATCTTATGGCTTAAAACTACGCAATTTTTTATCGTGAAAGATAGCCTTATTCTCTCCGTTTCCTTTCCAGGCTGTATACTTGAACATATTTTAAACTATTATTTCATTATTTTCCTTATTAATAGAAAACTGTGATGTCGAACTTGTCAGTCGCCTTTGCCATGCATTCAAATACAACGCTCCATGAAAACCATGGAAACAATTCCAGAGAAGAGCTGATTAATATCTTGAGCTTGTTTCAAAAGATATCACTAGCAGCACCGTACTTCATAATTGAGCCGCTTGCTTTGTTCCTGAATTTCTTGACTCTTTACATTTTACGAAAAAAAGAGGCGCAGTCATGCAGACGAATACGTCGAGTCAAAGGACACGAGCGAGTGATGGCTCGGCCACAATGCAGATCTTTTTATTTCTTACGACATTTGGTTTTCTCCGATTTGCTCACTTGCTTTGTGGCAATTCCATTTGACGCTCTGGAAATTTATCGCCTGGAATTTCGTCGCTCTCGGGAATACTGTGCTATCTCGAAGTATGTACGTTTCGTTGCGATCAGCAGCAGTTTTTATATTTTAGTCGTTATCAACTTTGAGCGGTTTTGGTCGGTAACATTCCCTTTTCGCCCCTTGGGGCATAAAATGATCTCTTACATGACCCGTGGTGCTTGGATAGCGGCGTTTGTAATCAATATCCCCTCTCTTTTTTTGTATCGATCAAAAGTCGAGTTTATGTACAATGACGATCGATATTACGTAAGAGTTTGTGTCGCAGAACCTGGGCAAACTGGAAACTTTGCAAGGGGTTTTTTGGGTGTGACATTCTTGATACCAGCCTTGGCCATCGCTACCCTTTCGTTGAGTACGCTTTATCATATTCTAAAGATCCAAAGGAAAAATAATCAGAGAGGATCAAGCATGGAAAAATCACTGTCAGAATTAGAGGAATTGAAGGGATTGAGAAACATTATACTCTCATCTTTTTACATAACTGTTGGATTTTGGTTGTGTTCAAGTCCTGTTGGTTTTTATTACTTAATAATCGCTGGTATTGGCCGTCCGGAATTTCCAACGTCATATCTGATCGGTCGTTCCATTGTTATCATTGCAAATCTTAGCGCCGTTGTAAATCCATTAGTTACCATTCTGTGTTTCCGTCCGATCAAGGAGGGTGCGAGGGAGTATTTAGGACTAGGAACTAAAAAGTGCTACAGGATAACGAACTTGGGCGCTCAGACAAAGGATGACAAAAACCATGTGGAACTTCTGGCGGTCACTGTTAGGAGTTCACTCCGGCACGTTAGATACATTCTGCAGAAGAGAGAGGCTGAAGAGAAGAATTTGCAACGTCTGGGAAAAGATACAAGCGAGCCAACCGTCATGACGACTGTTCCTCATTATGACAATACTTCTTAAAAAAACTGAACCAGGATTTGGATTGACAGTTATGGCCAATGACTGCAAAGCACTAGTTGCTATCATAGATCAATTAACAATTCAACTCCAAGGAAAGTCTCCACACAGCATCATTGTCCTTCAAGTTGCGTAACCGATGCACGTAGTCTGGCACTGTCTGGTACCAAATTTGAGTTGTCTCCAGTCTCACCCTCATCCGTTGTCTTCTGAGGTCTCGGTTCGATTCTCGAAACCGGCAATGTGCAGATATTTCTGCTGATTCTCCACTTTTTCTCTCTCCACAAAACCCTATATAACTGCACGTCACTTATTGTGCCTTCTAAGTCAACTCTTCAAATTCCAATTTGGCCGGAAACAGTGGACAAGGAGCCGACTTATGAACGTGCTTCTGTCTAATCCGAATTGATATTAATCTGATAAATCCATTAATCTTTGAATTTTACCCCAAAATTACTGTTCACTAAGATGAGAAAAACAGTCTATCCTATGAACTATCACTATTAGCGCTCAAACTGCATGGAAAAAGTAACTAAAGAGAGTCAGTTCAAGGTGAACTACTTGAGAACGAGGAATAGCCTCGCTCCAGTGAAGGTTTTTTTATTTTTTTTTTTCTCAGCGTGAAGGGAGGCAAAAATGAAATTAACATACACTATTTATGCTACATATGGCCACAGATAGCAGGTGCTCCCACTACGGCTGAGAAGTTTACATAATATAACAGCACTAGTTTCACTCTATAACGACAGGCCATTTGTCAGAGGTAGATTCAGAGCATGCCTACGCAATAAAGTATAACTTTCTTGCCAAAAATGACAGTGGATTATTTAGGAAACAATCGGCTTCTTGAGGAGGACCCGTTGTTTATACAAACATTTTCAAGCGGAAATAAGTGGAGGACTTTTTTCCTCCTCTAGTCTGATTTTCTCCACAAAAATCTTACAGTTTGTGCATGTGTGTGGAAAGCTAATACATATTTTTCCTTCTTAATCGCGTAGATTAAATTGTTTATTTGTATATTCAAAAAGTTGAGGAATGTAACCAGTATTAGTGTTTATTAGGAAACAATAAAAAACTTCCAGTCGATGTGAATCTGTGATCAACAGCACCTCAAAAACCGAATATCGAGTTGATGAAACATAATACGAGATAGAATTTTTTTTTTTGCAAAGTCTGGTTTTAAATCTGGCGAGAAGTACTGTAAAAGTATTGTTCATAATACAGAGATTAGAAACGTCAGTGTTTATGGTTTATTTCTATGCCCTAATGGGGGCTCTATTGTGTTAGAACAGGTCGTCTCCCATGGCAACTTAATGCTTTGAGCTGTGATTGGTTGAAAACTGTAATGCAGTCGAACTGTAAAAGAATGGAGTAAGCGAGTTCGGTTGTAGGTTTTTACGAAGATTTCTGTTCCTTTTTACTTGATTTAAACATCATGGCCGATGAAAGCGAGCTATCAAACGCAAGCGAGTTTATAAAAGGTACACCTCGGTTGTTTTTATCCGCTGCCAATATGGTTTACCGCCAAGGAATTGTCAGTCTTATCCAAGATGTCCCCTTCTTAATTTCTTACTAGATCGATTGTACTTCATCACTCTGCGAAACAAGCCCAGACATACTGAATCTGTTCATTACTTCTGTGTAGATGATGAATTGGTGTATGAGAAGTAAGTATGTTCTAATTTGGAAGCTTATTTGCCGTCAGCCTGCGTTCTAATTAGTCAATTTGTAAACTTGTCGTTCTGCAGTTTTTACGCCGACTTCGGACCCTTGAATCTTGCTATGCTGTATCGCTACTGTTGTAGGCTTTACAAGAAACTTAAGGTAAGCAATCTGCTGTTTTAACTAATTTTTGTGGACGAAAACATGAATATTATATTTCAAATTGTTTTATAGACAAACTCATGCAGTTCGCTCGCAGTCATT